TGTGTGTGTGTGTGTGTGCGTGTGTGTGTGTGTGTGTGTGCGTCTCTCTCTCTGTCTCTGTCTCTGTATTCCCTCGATGAGCCTAGGTTTGTCTCCCAAATATGGAATCGATCACCCTTGGTGTCCAAAACCAAGCGGCCAATCGACCAACGCACATAAGAGTGAGCAAGGATATGAACCGACCAAGAAAAGTGAGAGGGAAGAAGGAGAGGGGGCACTCGCAATGGTCATCTGCTTGTCGTGTGATATCATCGGTGACATGGCATTTGTTTCTTCCTCCAGCTGGCAAGGAACGAAAAGCAACGATTCAAGAAAAACGAAGAACCAATAAGAAAACGCCAGGCGCCTTTACAGAAGCTAGACCACCTTCACGCCGCATTAGGATCCGCATTCGGTGCTTGTCACCCCTCTTCACCAACACCCATTTCCGTCGCTGTCATCATCACTGCGAGCATCATCATGGATTCGTTTGCTCTTACGCCTTGCGATTCTTGTACTTCCCTTATTTATGCGCGCCGTTCATTTCAATCTCTAATCTGACGGGAAGCCCATCTCCACATCTTTCTCCTTCTTCATCCCAACTCCAGATTCTCTCTCTCTCTCTCTCTCTCATGGTCTTCTTCTGCTGTTCCCCTACGTCATCCCACCGTACAAGGCCCCAGGAGGACCCTCATCGCCGTTATTCGTCAGAACCTGGTCATCTTCAGCTTCCTCCACATCACCTCGAAATCGCCTGACACATGAAAAATGGAGTTATGAATGTACCTAAAAAACATATGTCCTGCACTTGCACACAGATTGCTCCCACCGAGCACTCACTCGATCCATACACCAGTTTCCCTCAAGACCCCCACCTCATTCATGTAAGCCCACCTGAAAACGGCATGAGCTCATTCCGCAGCCACGTTCGACGCACGCGCGCGCTGTGCTTTCGTACACATTGGCGTTGCATCCGTACAAGTCGACGTTGCATCCGTACAAGTCGACGTTGCATCCGTACATGCACATTGGCTTTGCATCCGTACATGCACATTGGCGTTGCATCCGTACATGCACATTGGCGTTGCATCCGTACATGCACATTGGCGTTGCATCCGTACAAGTAGACGTTGCATACGTACATATCCCCGCCTCCCTCTATTACCTAACTAAGAAAACAGAGGGGGGGAAGAAAAAAAAGAGAAAAAGAGAAAAAGCAAGCGGCGCGGAGATCCAAGAAAGGCAAGACGTGTGATCAACTGCGACCAGGTCGGGGGGCATACTTGCAATTATGCAACTATCCCGACAGAAGCCGAAATTGCCTCCAGGTAAGCCAAGGAACCTCCTAGTGTAAAAACGCCTTCGCTGCGTACTCATGTAGCTCTCCTTCCTCGACTGCATTAGGCTGAAAATGCAGCGACATACGTGCAAGAAACCCTTTCCATTGCAAGTACGTGGTAGACGCAATTGCCCCATACAAGTGGCGCTTTTCCCCTTTGCGCATGAAGGTGCTAATTGCTCCTCTCCCTCGCTCTCTCTCTGCCCTCTTCAAGAAGCAATGGCCCGCACGCCGGTCAAAGCCAAGCAAAGAGCCAATCAAGCGTGCACTTCTTTCAGGTGAACTACATGCGGAAGATGTGCAACGAGGGTACAGAAAGTGAAGGCACAAGAGAGAGAGAGAGAGAGAGAGAGAGAGAGAGAGAGAGAGAGAGAGAGAGAGAGAGATTTATAGCGCACCTATTTTTTGCCAAGTAAAGAGCTGATCAAGCGCGCACTTCTTTCGGGAGAACTACCTGAGAGCACGCTGGAAGATGTGCACCGAGACTACAGAAAGTGACCGCACATGAGAGAGAGAGAGAGAGAGAGAGAGAGAGAGAGAGAGAGAGAGAGAGAGATTTATAGCGCACTTTCTATGCGAAACTTTTCGGAACAAATCTCTTATGAACACAGATGACCATCAACCAGACCAAACGAAGATAGGCAAATATTCACGAGGGGAGGGGAGCGGAGGGGAGGGGAGGGGTAGGGTACACACCAGACCAAACATAGGATTGTCTATGCCTTCTCTGTCATACACACTGCCGTCCGCGGAAATACGTCGGCTCCAGGACTCTGTTTATTAGTTTCTCGAATCTCTTCGCCCCTCCTCCCGGTTGTAAGGCTACTGGGTCACCTACAACCCCGCAAGGGTCCGGTCCATCTCCTTCTCCTACTGCCCGTCCTCCTGAAGATGATGATGAGCTGTTTCGTTCTTCCTTTCCTACCGGTTCTTCTGCTTGCATCTCGCTCCCCGCACACCAACCACCCTCCACGACACGCCCTTTCCTCCTCCCTCTCAGAAGCTTCGCGTCTATCGTGTCTAGCAATGGCTCGTCCTCCTTAAACTTCCTCGCAAACGGAACGCTGGCATTCACCATAGCTGCGTAGAAGGTGGAGTTCAAGAACAAAGGATGCTGCGTGGGCGGGTTCTGCCACGCAATGAAGTGGAGATCGGTATTCACAGTGGTGTTGAAGTGCTCTTTGGAGTTGCAAACGACGGTGTGAAAGTAGGACTCGGGGGAAGAGAGGACGTTGGCAAAATACATGAGAGCAAGCCTGGGCAAATTGTCCCAGCCATAGATGAGATATTCACAGAAGTTATAGCTCAACATCACCCAGGCTGAGCCTTGAAACAGGCGGAAGGCGTTGGGAGTGGCGCGGGTTTCTTGGACAAAGAACAGGTCGGACTTGGTGGAACGGTAGATCGCGGGATCGACCACCATCGAGCGCACGCGTTGCCGCATTTTGTAATCTGGGATCTCGCTGGTGTGGTCCAAGAAGTTCAAGCCACGTGGCACTGAAGATAAGACGTGCAGAAAGTCGTCCTGTGTAATTAACGGATAATCGGATGCGCTGAGATTGATGAACCAATCCCATTTCGATTTCTTCCTAAGGAAAATGGACATACCATGCAGAGTGGTGGATATCATTGTCGGACCAGGGTACGTTACAAGATTGGACTTCACGATGAGCCGGACGTTCCCGACGAGAAGAAAGAGAGGGTGGAAAGCGATAAACCGAGCGAGATCGAGTCTCTCCGACACCGGCGATTCACGATCTATATGGAGGAGATACTCGTTGTGCGGGTGGTAAAGCGCGAGAAGAAGACGTTTCATTCGGTTCCCGTCGCCTTTGCTCCCTGTCAACAAGTACGCAACCCTAGGCAGCTCAAGCTCAGCTGAAGAACCATCGACGCTTTCCGAGTCGGCGGAGGATTGGGAGGAGAAGAAAGAGGAGGAACGAGGAGATGGCCGAGAGGACAACTGGTGCACTCGCCCCAATGGCCGATTTACGGATCCGGGAATAGGGTTAAGTGGGCGAGCTCCAAAAAGGAGCGTCAACGCAAGAAAAAGACAGACGAAGATGAGAGAAAACGCTAACCAGCGCAAGTTCACCTCCATCATGATCTGATCTAGCTTGGCGCGACAATCGGTCGGCAAAAATTTTCCCTCCCTCCTCCCCCTTTCGTCGTTCCGCCCGCTCACTTCACACACGTCTTCTCGACACCTACAGAGCATTCACCTATTATACACCCTATTCCCCCCCCCCCCCCCCTCCTGTCAGCTACTTAACGTTCACATCATCGGTAGACAAGCCTCTGTTCAGTGTGAAGTCACGCAACTTCCCTCCTGCCCTTCTCCACCCTCCCCTCGACCAAATACATCTATCTTCTCATCCACCTCCTCTTTCCCCCTGCTGTCCGGAAAACCCTATCCCTAGGTCCCTTCTCCACCTACTACAAGTACCTCTTGTCACCAGCCCTTCTCTCCACTACTCTCCCCTACCTTCCTTTCCCTTGCAGCTACCGTAATCAATCAATAAATCAAGCAGGCAATCAAGCAATATTTGTAGAAAAGGAACCAACGTGGCACTCCCGACCTATGTAGACCAACATAGCAAACTTCCGCCGATCTGGCGATTGGCACAGAGTGGGATGAGGTAGGCCAGCGCGTTTATTGATATGATGTCACCCTTCCAGTGGCCCGCGTTGGAGAGCAAATCACCATCATCCGCAAGGGAGAGGCAGACAGAGTGAGGCGAAGAGAAGAGATGTGGAGAGCACAGAGAGACACTTGACCACCAAGCCCCTGCCGGTCTCCGCGAACATCAACGTGTAACGATGTCGAGCGCCGTACTTCATGGCAATCAGCACAGCCACTCCCGACGACGTTGTTGAGCGCATCGGTCCCACGCAGGGCGGGACCCTCCTGGTCGCGTCACACAGGAGTTGGTCTATTCGCAATACACATGGAGCTTCCGCAAGCCGCTCCGGCTGAGTGCGCCAGCCATACCTCTCGCGAGCCCTACAACAGGATAGGGTCAACGTAAGGTACTACTTACCTCCACCTGCGGAAGTTGTCACCTCCCTTCGGTGGGCGCATTCTTGCCGAGCTACCAGTCCACAGTAAAATACAAAAGTTAATCAGTTGCAATCGCATAGGTGGACCAGCCGATGGCGTTTCTTGTATGTTGTCGCATAAGGGGTACGCGCGGTTCCACGCCTCTATCGGACCCGCACGCGAACTGATGCACTGGGGGGCTGAGGTCCCAAGCGCGGCTTGTCAGCGGCCGACTAGGACGCATCTCACTCACCGCGCGTTATACCATACTTAAAACATAAAAATAAACACACACACATATGGAACGACACGATACAAAATAACACAACAACACTCCTAGTCTCTTTTGTAGTCATCCCATAACCTTCCGACGTGGAAATCGGATAGGCGCCACACGCAAGACTTAGTATAAAACCGCACGGATGCCGGACCTTCTCATATCGACTAGCAATGCATGCATACGCAAGTCGTCGCAGTGATGGCGTACTATGTAGTACTCATAATTACGTGGTCCTCGATAATCTCGAGGGTCGCGTTCGACACTTAAATGTCGGCTGATACGCGTCTTGAGAGGTTAATCTCTCGACGCTAAACAACCGCCAAGTATGGTTGAGAACCACACCCTCTTCTGCACCTTGCGGAGAGTGGGTGGTACACAAGTTCGTACATGTGGTGACAATCGATTTTTATCGCCTTGGAGACCAGCTCCATCATCCAGGGCCTGGAGAGAACTCAATGGGTTTGACTTTGACGGCTGTCGTGGACTACAACGTCCAACTATAACAACTATAAAAAAAAAGGACCAAAAAGGTTTTCCCTTTTATCTCAATGCATAGTCTGTTTAACCCTTGCACATGGTCACAACAGGTCGCGCGAACACCCAACGTGTATATATATAAATATATATAAAAGATTATAAATATGCGACAATCACTTCTCACAATCACAGTGGGACTCCTCTCAGCCATATATATGTGCGTGATCGTAGGCAATCAAATCCAAAGTCCGAACCACGAACATATTTGCAATCATATCAAAAATTTAACCAAAGGACCGCACACTACACGGGGTCAACTTCAATCATTCTCTATACTCATACCCCTAACTTTAGTCACGCAAGCCCCAACATTTGTCCAACCTTCCAAAATAATTACTCAGCACCTCTGTTAAATGGTCATTCAATAAAAGTTTGAGTGAAAACCTTAATAAAATAAATAAAACCACCAGGGGTAAAGCCTTTAGGTTGGGTAACGAAAGTAGATTGGATTTGAGGCGTAAACCGAGGAATCGACGACCGACCTGTTAGCAGTGACAACAGATGATGATCCTCTTGGGATCAAGTTGAATATAGCCCAGATTCTGAATCAAACGATCAAAAAGAACATGTAACACAAGACAAGTCAATGCCCAAACTAAATCATCGGTGTATGGGGAATAAATCTCCATAACACATCCTTACTCAAAATTATCTGCTAACTAAGTCTAAGTCTATCCCTAAGTCAGTGTCCAAAGAAAAGTAGACCTTTGATAAAATTTCCTTTATTTAAGGATGAATCGCTAGAATCGTCATCTGTCAAAATATAATTTAACTCCTCTAAACAAAAACAATTCCGGCAGCGCTTCCCATAGGAAAAGTGTATTTTTAGAATTTATATTAGCTCAAATACGAAAAACTAAAATAATTATCAACTCTGAAAAATCAAATTTTGTCTAACTACCCGAATTAGTAAAAATTTGAGCGGCATCTCCTTTAGAAAAACAGACTTTTCAGATTTATACTAACTCATATATGAACTCAAACATATGTCTTGAGTTATATCAAGACAAAATTTAATTAACTCCTTAGATTTATATAATTTTCGGCAGCGCTTCCCGTAGAGAAAATAGTCTTCCAAAATTTATACAAAGCTAAGTTCAAAATCTATGAATTACTTTGACTTGTCAAAGTTCAATTTTGTTTAACTCTTTGAATTAGCAAAAATTTGGGCATCACTCCCCTTAGAAAAAAAAACTTTCCAAATTTTTACTAAGCCATATGTAAAATTTAAACAAGTTGAACTTTGGGAAGTCAACATCTGACTAACTTTTTTGTTTTGTATAAATTTCGGCATCGCTTCTCATAGAGAATGTAGCTTACCAAGATTTATATAAGACAAAGTATAATAAATGATCCAAAAAAATGCGAGAATTGATCTAAGTAAAAAAAAAAAAAAAAAGTTAGCTAAGAAAATGCAAAAAATTAAAACTAACTCATATAGCTCTAGCACGTGGCCAGCATCTAAAGTGATTGCCTATTAAACTAAAACTTAAAATAAGTAGTGATTTATCTCAGTCACATGCAAATTCAAACCACAAAGGTAAGTAATCTCACCAGCCCAAAGTTACCATTGTCAAATAATAGTTTGTAGTCTTTCAATGATTTATCCCTTATACCCAATTTACATAAGGCATAAAGTTAAACCGTTCAATCTTATGGAAATTTGTCTAGCTCAACTATTGAATATACACAAACACAGGGCATTAAAACTTTTACCTTCCTTGGGCATATGACTAGGTTGTCCAACCTAGTCGCCCTGAACTGTTTAAGTATCCAAGTTATATATAATTGTCGATACTTAGTCTTTTAAGGTAGCGTATGACTGAACCGATCATCTTAGATCAAGGTTCAGCCTGTCCCTCCTTACCAGAGTTTATTCTTAATTTATACTCTCTTCAGTTGATGATAAGCTATAGTCAGATCATCCAATCTTATGAAAAAATGCATGACTAACCTGTTCATAAGTAAAATAGTATAAAAATATAAACAAATTTATCTCTTTGGTTATAACATGTGCGTAGCTCCAGACTAGACCACCCAATCTTATGGAAACCTGTCCAGTTCTTTGCCCGAATTTTCCTCAGAACGAAAAAAAGAAAGTTAGAGTCATCCAATCTTATGGAACATGCCCAACTCTCTTTCAGAAACTAGTAAAAAAAAAAAACAAAACAAAAAAAAAGTCATCAAATCTTATGGAAAAATGTTTCGTCCCTAAAAGTCAAACACAAACAACCCTTACAAGTCAAAGCAACCAGACCACCCAATCTTATGGGAACTTGTCTGGTCCTTCAAACAATCAAAAATAAACATAGCACTAGGCCCTCCAATCTTATGGAGACTCTCCTAACCTTTGGTTGACCCAGTCAGACACAAGCAATACAACCTTCCTACCACCTTTCCCCCAGATGCAATGCCTTTTCACAATCTGCTTTCAGTCAACACAACAAAGTTGAAACTGAACTTGCACAATCATTCCTTTAGTTAAGTCTGGTTTGTGTCCTGAAAGTCGAACTTAAGTCAAAGTAGCGATGCAGGAAATATACGAAGTCAACCATAGCAAGAAATACAGATAAGAGTTATAACTGGGTTTATAGAGCGGAAGCAAATGATTACCTCTTAGTTATCTGCCTCCATAACTCTTCCTAAGTTTCGGTAGAGCTCCCGCAATCGGTGGGCACACTCCCCACAGAGTCTTGATGCGGTCCTACGGGTTGCAATCCCGCCTGTCACCTGCCTCTCGTAACCAAAGATTAAACTTAGAGTAGTAAGAAGGGAAGAGAGAGGGGTTTCAGACTCTCGAGATACAGGAGAGGGACCAACAGAAAAAATTTTCGAAATTAAATAATCATTCTATAGTGAAATTACATTCTAAATTTTAAATTTTCATTCCATCTTAAAAAATGTCATTCCAATTTTAAAATTTTTCGTCTTACTTGAAAACTTTTATTCCAAAAATGGGGTGTCCATTCTTATTTGAACTGCATGCTAGAGATAGAATGAAAATCTGGATGAGTTCATGAAATATTTTAATTGGACTGTCATTCTAAGCAAGGATTTTCAGTCATAAATAGATTAATCTAATCTAAATTAGAAGATATTTGTTGTCATAAAATGAAATTTTAATTAAAAAATTCAATAAACTCGTCCTGACTTTCATTTCGTGAGAATAAATAGATGTAGTTGGAGGGGAAAACTCATATTTGGACGAAAATTTATCAAATAAAACTGTAAATTTCAGAATAGGACAAAAATTGGATAATAATTTATAAATATGAAGGAATTTTTTTTATGGAATGTTTTTTCAACTTTCATTTTTCGTGGGAATTTTTCTGTTG